CACGTTTTAATGGACTTGCGTCCACGTTACCTGCCTCAGCAAGGTACCTGAATGCACCTGCCTGCTCCCTCAATTAAGTGCTTCATAACGCACTCTGGTTGCGAAACGCGCGAGTAACTCGTCACTAAGCGGGAGAGGCCACGAGAAGAAGAAAGAAAAGAGGTGACGCCGGGTGGCTTGAGCTCCTTTTCGCCGCCCTGCGCGCAACGCAAATTTACCTCGCGAGGGAGTCATCTGGGAACGAGGTAGTGAAAGCATAATCAGAAAATCAACGCTGGAAAACATTTTGTTACTGTGGACTGTATTGTTATTGTATAGTCCCTGTACGTGGTCTTCCCAGAGCTATGGACTATATATAGGCATTTCCTCTACCATTTTTTTAAACTATCACAGTTCTACTCATTATATATATAAATTAAAATATATTTTATTCATAACTTACTAAATATACAGATAATTTTGTGGATTTCGAAATAAATACGTACAAACACGTGTTTAGATCATCAGCAGCCGTACTCGGAGATGTAAGTAACTTTGTCAGCTTTAAATTTAAAAAGATGTTTTTATCCTGACACTTTATATCTATACATTAAAGTTGAGAAGAACATTGCTTTGCGCGGAAATATTCCCGTTGTTTTTGAAACAATAATCTATTAAATATATAGAAAGCCCGACACAAATAGACTAGACAACAAAATCATAATTTTGTTTTCTACAGGCTAATATTTAATATCAATATTAACGCGTTTTACCAGGACCCTTAACTATAACGCGAACAATATTGTCTGTAAAAAGGCTTTAATCTACATACTAAAAATAATTTCTACGTTACTTAAGTATTATCTTCAGGTTTCTACACAAAATTAGGTTTAAGCCAAACTGCTTTTCCAGTTTGTAATACTTTAAATAAACAGTTCTTTAAGTTAATAAATTGATGGAGTTTCTAATGTAAACGGGCACTTTCAATAAATCACACCTTTAATACAACAAGTTTGGTCGGTTGCTCTTCCTCATGAATGAGCTTTTTGGTTCACCAAAAATCATGGAAAAAGAAAAAACCGTCTAGAAATCAATGGGTTATGCAGTTACTATATGCTGCTTCTCACAGAGCATAAAAGTTAATTTATTTAAATAGAGATAGTTGACACGTGGTAGTCGAATCTCGGTATATAGGGCTTGACGATTTATTAGGAACGAGGTTCTGAATCACATAGTCACTAAAATCGTTGATGATTTGAACCCTCATTTTTCCCGATTAAAACATTCACTTTTTTTCTTTACACAATAATCTCCTCTTCTTGAGATTGTGCCAAATATACAAGGACCACATTTGGTCTTGGTTGGTCCATCTGATTAGGTGAATTTGGAGTTTCAGTTACACTTTCAAAAGCGCTTTCTTCTTCGTTGTCAACGCTTTCCTGAATAGTGTTTTCTGGAGAAGTCAAAGATAATATAGGCCGTGAAAAAGGCGATCTATTGTTCTTCAAAAACACTGGAGCAAAAGCCTGACCGGCCTGAGCGGTCTGAGCGTCATTTCCACTACTTTCCGTTGCACGTGCTGTTGAATGTAATGGCGGATTGGGTGAATGAAGGCGTGGCGAAGCGGATCTGTAGCGTTGCGGCGTAAAATAGCTTGAAGGTGAAGCTTGCGCACCTGGGCTTAACCTGCAAAAACTGGCATCAATTGCATATTCTCCAGTTGAAATCCCAGGAGACGGAGATGGTGGTGGTTGGTCATAACTTTGAGAGGGAGAATCGACGAATACTGATCTTTCTACAGGTGCTGATATGGATGAACTGATCTGAATACCAACATCAATTGATGTGGGTCGGTCAGTCGCGGCTACATTGAGGGACGCGCGTGACTCAGTTGTTCTGTCTGAAGGCAAATTAAGAGATGACCGTCGCCCCGTGTTCGTTACAGCTTGCAACGAAAGAGGTGATGGTGGAGATGACTGATAGTCAGGGGGATACAAGCTGCTTTCCTCTGAGACTGTAGAATCAAATCTTCGCATTCTACCAATCACTCTTTCGTAAGCAGGAGGTGGAAAACCCATAGGTAAGCTTTCTGATAACGGTCGGGTCGGTACAGGTGGCTGATATGGTGGGGGAAGTGGGTTCGAATGTGTTCTAACATGACGGGTACCACGACTGCGGTCGATATAAAATCGTGGTGCTTCGATTGCCAGACGAGAACGTTCGGGAAAATGTAGATGTTGAGGTCTTGCCACTCCAGGCACCCGATCTCGATAATGTCGAACCATTCTGTTTGACGGGTGAAAAACAGTGATTGGAGCATCAGTTATGTAACGAGTATTCACGGGATCAATAACTCTTCGCTCGTCATCGTAATGACGTTCGCGAGAGATGAAGCGTCGACTGGTTCCGTCGGATGAGCTATCTGAATGAGACGCGGAGTTATCGGTAGAAATCGTTGAAACTCCTCTACCGCCGAATAAATCAGACGAAGCAAACGCCAACATTTCTTCTCTAGGAGGGTAAGCCCTTGAGTCTTGCCTTGCAATCGACGAACTTTTCTGAAACCTGTTGTAAAGAATCGCAGTCCACCCCAAAACAACGATCAGCAATAAACCAAAGCCGATTAAAGCCCCGGCACTTATCTGATCAATTCTGCTGGAAGAGCTTTGAAAATGTACCACAGCTATCACAATGATACCAGTCAAGCACAAAACGATAAACCAGCAAAGTATACACAAACAAAAAATCTTTTTTCTTCTTGAGGATGCCTCCGTGCTGAAGGATCGTCTTATACTCAATCTCGGTATTTCACGCTGGGCTTGCCTAGGCGGGCCAACTTGACGACCAGAGCGAGAGGAATGTTCGCTGTTCGTTGTTTCTACCTGCATTTTCGTGTTTGCACCGTTTTCTTTCCTTTAACAGCTTCAACTGATAACATAAACAGCCGCTTCAATTCTTCCTTTCAAGCGGAGCTTGAGAACGTGAACAGCCACTATTGGCAACTAGTATGTAAATCAACTTAACAACAGGGAGCGCACAATTTGTTTTATATTGAGAGCGGTAAAACCACTTCTGACAACACAATGATTGTGGGATTCGTGTCCTGTGACGTGGACCGTAATTGACACTGCTTTATATTGAAGTTTTACCTAGACTAAAAGCAAGTGGTTTATTTTCAGCCGTCGATGCTTTTTCTCACAGCCCATGGGTATAAACGGACGAGAAAAAATTTTTTCTTTAGCTTATTTGCTTTGAACAATAAAAACAGTTTACAAAAGTGTTTATAAACATACGAATCGTCCATAAAATCGCTCTGTAAGTCAAATATTGGATCGAATGTTTCGAGATACTTCACGCTTCCCTCTTGACAAAACCGAAGAGCGTTTTTGTGCGTTGACCAATTGTTTTCAATATCGACTAACTATTAAGTTTATTGCATTGCAGCCTACTTAGTTAATTTCTATCTATACTAGTACGTATAACAGTACTCACGAAACAATCTCGAACATCAACCAAGAGCTAACGAGAACATTCACATTGTTAAGCAGAAACAAGCAGGAGTCGTGCTTATGTTTGATGAATATTCTTGGAAAACTTTATATTAGGTCTATTCGGAAGGAAAAAGATTTCATTTCAGTCGGCTTGCGTGTCAAGAATATATGATTCAGAAGTAGTCGTGCGCCGTCTTTGTTGTGCTTTGTTCTTTTCTTTGTTGTCCCGTTTCCATAAAGATAATAATAGATTTTTGTAACTGAGGTGAAGAGGAAGAAAAGGGTAGAACTTTTCTGAACTTTCAGAGAGTAAAGTCGATTAAAACATTAACTCACATCGAAGTGAATCCACTGAACGGTAAGCGTTGTTTCTTTTCGTGTTCCGTTTTGAAAGTGACGGCGGAACTAGAAACTCTTTCCATCTTCAACTACGACTTCTAGATATTAAATATTATATTCTAAGTGCTATTCCTTAAGAAAAAAATGTTAAAAAACCTTTGGTAAAGCTTAAGGAATTAGATATTGGATTTCCATCCTCGTTCCGCCGTTCCGCCTAAATTTTCGCGCCACTTCATTTTTCGAAAAACGTGAATGTTAGCAGCCGGGTGTGACGCCTAAAACGTGATCTTCATTGAAACAAAATTGCTCGACCACAATTGAAAATGAGCAATTATTACAGAATAATTAACGACAATTATCCATTAAAAAAGGCCTCTTTTAGCAGGAAAAAATTTATGATGCAAATTTTAAAGAATACCATTCATTTTTCAGTCTGGCCGTTTTCCATCAAAAATGATTTAAGTCCAAGTTATTCGACGCATTTTCAAAATCGAGACGCCATGAATATTTACGAGGAAACTTGAGGTCAAATGTCGGTATTCTTTGGCACATTCAGTAAAAATGTAATTTATTAATTCATAGTATAAATAAAGAAAATCTCAGCAAAGGTGACTCGAATGAGTTCAGAATTTAAGATTTAAATTGGAACGAATGTCATCGACTATGAGCTGTTTAAAATACGTGCCAAACCGATAACCACTCGTGTCGGGGAAACAATTTGATATATTGCAAGCCAATAGGAAAATATTCTTTTACAACAGTGCCATTATCAGATTTTTAATTGGCACTGATAATTGTCATTGAATTTTATATTTCGGCGAGTTAACTCATTTAGGCTAGTTATATGATAACTAAGTAAGCCAAGGCCGAGTAAGCTCCCAGTGAATCAGCGTAACAACCGAATGATCATAGATAATGATATGGATGCTTTCAAACAACACTCGATAAACTAAACCGCGAACACAAGGGAAGCACTTGAAAAGAAATGACACTTTATTTTGAAAAATTTTAGTACGTATTTTTACAGGATGCTTTGCTTCACAAAGACAAAATGTGTTCTTATGATTTTATATCAATTATTGTGTTCGTGCTTAGTCTCCCAGTTCAAACGACCAATTGATCTGTCCCTCGTTGAACCCGGTTTCGAAGCTGCTCTCCTTTCAATGATACCTTTGTTAAATCAGGAAAGTTGCAGAAATGAATTCACGTGTTTATTTGTTTCCAGAATTATTCCAGAAAAGAATTTAGGCCTGCCGGTTTCTGTTTGATTGTTATTTGTCCACTTCTGAGAAGTTGAGCGAATATAGGCGATGAATGCGATGGACAACAAAACACTTTGTTTAATTATCAGGGCTCTCATTTTTAGCAGGCTTTGTTATTGTTCTAGCATATGGGGTGATACCTCCAGCAAAAACATTTCTTAGTTTCAACTTATCCAGAACTTTGCTTGCAGAATAATCCTAGGTATCAAAAAAATTTGATCATGTCTCTGCTGCGCGCAAATCCCTTGGTTGGCTAATTATAAGCGTCCGTCAAAAAACTTAAATACTGTTACTGTGGTTCAAAAGTGTAGGAAAAATCAGGCACCACCTTATCTTTGCAATTTATTCCATGATAGATTTAGTGTGTCAGGACGCAGCACTAGAAACATGTCACAGTTAAATCTACCTAAATGTAGATTATCAACTGGTCAACGCTCTTTCGCCTTTCTTGGGCAAAAGAAGAAAACCTACTTTCGGAACTTAAACAATATCTCAAGTTTTAAAAGGAAAGACTGCCCACTTTCTTGGAAACTCTTCTTAAATAGATTGAATCACATTTTTCACGACTGTATTAAACTCATGTAAATATTTCTTGCTGTAACAGATGTAAATATTTTTGCCCCATTGTAATTTTATTATTGTATTATTTGTTATTATTGAATATTACGACAGAATAGCCCCGTATAGAGGAGTCGTAATAAAGTGTATGTTATGTTATGTTATGTTATGTCATAAAGAGGTCTGCTAACAAGTACTTTAGATGTCAGCAATTTTCGGTACAAGAGTAACAGCCGTACGTACTTGGGTGTGTCGGAAAACACTAGAAAAGAAAAACAAAAACAAACTATCAGGCGCATGCCATGCCATATCTCACCGCAATGACGACATCGTCATGACAGTTTACGATTCCTCTTATTTAATCTCTTACTCGTCCACTCATTCCAGACCCTTAATTCCTTCACTCCCAGATTCAATCGACGAGACTAAAAGTGTGCTCCTGACCTTGGGAATAAGGAATGCTGTAAAATCCGGTGGTTTCACCATCATGGCAAAGAAACCTCTTCAGTTGTATTTTTACTTCTAATTGTTTTGTTTTTCAGAACTGAAATTAGTAATTGACGTTTCCAGAAACACCTTTTAAGGCTTTGTAAGCAAACATTTTGGTTACTTCATCAAAGTCACAAGATTAATGAGGACTTGCGTAAAAAACACCCACAATTGACCGCTGTGCTCGTAAGTAGGTCTAAACTCCATCATCGTAAGATTAAGTAGAATAATTCAACTCGAAAGAAAGATTGAGAGTTGCTGGGACGTGAGTTCAGAAAATAAAATAAATAAATAAATAAAAAAGTAAATAAAGGTGCCGCTTTTAAGATAAAACTCTTTGATATTAACCCTGATCACTACACTCCTGCCTCTGTCCTGACTTGATAGAGATACTGCCGCTAAATTGCAGGGTTTTTTTTACAGATCATATGGCAGAAAAAGTAAATGTTCTAACGCTATGTAAATAACTTGGTGTCGCCATAATTGGCCGTTTAAAGGTACGAGGAAGACTGGAATTGAAAAATGGCCACAATAGTTTCATATTCTTTTGTTCATTTTCAAATTAGCCTTACTAGCCTCTTTCTTAAGTGCAAAATTAAAAAAAAATAAAAAAACTTATAACAAGCGAGGCTAGTAAGGCTAATTTTAATTCAAACAAAAGAATATTAATCCAGCAGCCATTTTTGCATTGGGTCTATACTGACTAGGCTGGGCCAAAACTCGAAAGATAGGTCAAAACAGAAGCCTATCACCCCTGGTCAAAATCATCCCCAAAATTAAACAGTCCCACACTGCAATTCGAAACAACTCCGACCCAGTCCCTCGCGCCCTCCTCGACAGATTTCAATTATTTTGCAAATCTCTTCTAACAGATAGCCCTGTAACACCGTTGGACTCCTCCATAATACAGACAGTTCTTTTGGTGTTAGTAAACGATACTAATTTTCTTGCAGTTTCTACCAATACAAGACACCCCTGTCCCTTTAATGTCCGTGACGACTGTTAAACGACAAGACAGTAGGACACACAATGGACCACTCGCATTGGTCTCAACACGAACAAATGATTGGTTCTAAAATAGCTATACTACCGCAAAGTTACCTTTCTGCTCTACAGTTCAGCTTTGACCGACCATATTAAAGGAAAAGTTTTGAAAAGGAAACACACTCAAGGAACTAAGTCGCTTTAAAACTATATTCGATTGTGACGCAGGGGGACGTTGTGAGATGTCAAACTGAAAACAAATATTGCACTTCCGGAATGAGTGCGAAAGCGCTGAGTCATCAAGGGGACTGGGCTGATTGCCTCCTTGTGAGTTTGTGTCACGTGCGCATGCTTGAATGTTTCCAACATGCCCTCTTTCTACCCCTCACTCCACCGCTTGGAATAGTGCTAAGTAGAACGGGGGTGGTTAGGCTTGCCCATCGCCCTAAGCGCGGTAGAACGCATTGCCCACCCACATTTTCATGCAAAGATAACAGGACTTTCAGTCTTTTCCTGGCTTAGCACGTTAAGGATACTTGAATATCGAATCGATATCCTCTATATACCTTGCCTCACCACAGAAGGAAAAACCGTCCTACTTGTGGTTTGATGCAATTGGCAATATATAGAAGAAACTGTCACATAGCCGGATTTCGGCCGTTCGGATGAAGACTTTAACATCGATATTCTAGTAGGAAACCACTTAAAACGTCGATAAAATGAAATATTATTAAATTATCATCAATGGATCTCGAAACTGGTTCA